CCGCATCGGGCTCTCTGCTCAGCAGGGAGCCTGCTTCCCTCTCTCTCTCTCTCTCTCTCTCTCTCTCTGACTGCCTCTCTGTCTACTTGTGATCTCTCTCTGTCAAATAAATAAATAAAATCTTTAAAAAAAAAAAAAAAAGAAAAACAGAGACAAATAGCCTATGTTTCGCATCACAGCTGCTGGAGCAACACGACAGCCGGGAGCTCACAAAAGGCTCACTCATAAGCATGAAAGGAAAAGCTGAGGAAGTAGATGCTCCTGAGAGGCATCAATATGCTGTGAAATGTTCTGGGGACTCTACAAGGTCACACACGCAAGAACTGTGAGTACGCTCAGGAGAGAAGCGAAAAGGGCCTAATGGCTCACGGCTGGGTCTGCGGAAGCAGGAACCGAAGGCTAAGGCAGAGCTGTAGGCTGCGCCAAAGGCAGGCCCCCCCACCCAGGCTCCAAGGCCCTCAGCAAAGGCTACCAGATGTATTGATTCAAAGCATTTAAGAAAAATCTCTATTTGATCATTAACTGAGCACGAAACCTAATTATCAAACATTTCATACCATACACAATGAAGAATACAAACTCTACAAAATTAATGCAGGAAACTCAGACAAAACAAACATAGGCAACAGCAGGAAAAGGCAACAAAAACCATTCTGGGAAGGGGCTACTCTGATACGAGCAGTTGCCACATTATATACCATCGAAACTGTCTGATTTTCAAGAAAAGAATGATAAGATCAAGCAAACAGCAAAGTATGTTCCCTATATAGACACAGCTCACACACACACACACACACACACACACACACACAGTCAATAGAAACTGTTTAGAGGAAGGCCCAATATTGGACATACAGATGAAAAATTTAAATCCCCTATCATAAATATGCTTAAAAAATTAGAAGAAACCATGTCACGAGAATTAAAGGAAAATATGAAAACACAGTCTCACCAAAGAGAGAATATCAATAAAGAAACAGAAATTTGTACAGATACAAATTCTTGAGTGGGAAAGGACAATAAGTCACAAGAAAAAAATCACCAGAGGGGTTCAACGAGAGATTTGAAGTGGCAGGAGAGAGAGGCAGTGGACCTGAAGACACATTAATTCTGATGAAACACAGATGTAATCTGAAAATACTATACTAGGAAAGAAAACAGTTATAAAAGGTCACATGGTTTAAGATACTCATTACATAAAATGTCCAGAACAGGCAATTCTAGGAGGCAGAAATAGGTTTGTGGTTGCCAGGAGCTGGGAGGGGAGGGGAACGGAATGGGGGTGTAGGGGCTGGAATTAGATAGGGGTAAGCATAAACAACTTGTGAATAAGCGAACAACCAATGAGCTATATACCTTAAAAGGGTGAATTTTACGGCATAGGAATTATATTTTAATACAGGTGTTATAAAAATTTATATTAAATGTATTGGTATTATAGTTTTATTTATAATTTATTGGGGTTTTATATTTATCTATTGTTATTTATAATGTGTTTGGGTTTTATTATTGCATATAAATTATATGTATTAAGCATCTATTTATACCTAGCTTTATGTTTACATACATTTAAGTGATGTTATGATTAAAAAAATTTGTTGGGACACCTGGGTAGCTCAGTCAGTTAGGCCACTGCCTTCAGCTCAGGTCATGATCCCAGGGTCTTGGGATCGAGTCCCGCATCGGGCTACTTGCTCAGCAGGGAGCCTGCTTCTCTCTCTGCCTCTGCCTGCGTTTGCGCACTCTCTCTCTCTCTCTGAGAAATAAATAAATAAATAAATAAACAAACAAAATCTTTAAAAGAAAAAAAAATTTGTCAATAGCTTGGTTTTGGTCAGCTATCCTAAAAAATCATGCTCCAACTGTGGTCAACTAACGTTTCATAGAGAAGCCCATAATCCTGCAATGATTACTAAATTTTCTTGTTATCTCTACCAACATTAGAGACCTTAAATGAGAATAATGAAGATTAGAAATTGGTTTTCAGGGGCGCCTGGGTGGCTCAGTGGGTTAAAGCCTCTGCCTTCGGCTCAGGTCATGATTCCAGGGTCGGGGGATCGGGCCCCGCATCGGGCTCTCTGCTTAGCAGGGAGCCTGCTTCCCCCTCTCTCTCTCTGCCTGCTTTTCTGCCTACTTGTGATCTCCGTCTATCAAATAAATAAATAAAATCTTTAAAAAAAAAGAAACTGGTTTTCAATAGTGGTTGGTTGGTCAGAATAGCAAAAGTACAAATGAGCTCTCTCAGGAGATCAGTGGCATGCAAGATATTTGAAGTGGCCACTATATCCTAAAGATAATACTCGGGCATGAAGAGCACATAACAATTTAAGGAGGCCTGTAACGTGAACTCTTAGGGGTAATGCCCATGACTTATCAAGCTTTTACACGAGAGGATTCTGGTTGCCTGATGCCAACTCAAAGGGTAACAGCATCTTGCCTCTACAACAGGGTTGGTTGTCTGTGAAGATCCATACAGAAATATTTTAGAGTTTGTGAGCCATCCTGCCTCCATGCAACTATTCAACTCTGCCACTGTGACATGAAAGCAGTGATGGATAACATGCAAGCACATGAGCATAGCTATTTCAATAAAACTTTATTGACAAAAACAAGTGAAAGGCCATAGTCTGCCAATCTCTGCTCTAGAACATTGTGTCTGGATCACCTAGAACAAGAGAGGAGATGCCATCAAGCCCAACATTGGGTCTTTGCTTACTGATACACACTTGTGCAAGAAAGGTGTGGACCTGGCTTTCATGATAAGCTGATGGTGAAGCTACAGACTCACGTCTCTCCAACATTCGGGCAACTACTGCTATCCACCAGAAAGAACCTAACAGCTCTCTATTGCCAAGTTAAGGAATCAATGTTGGTCCAGTCTGCAGAAGTGCCTCATTGCTGCCTTAATGGCCTATCATTCTCATGTAGACTATTAAGACAAGTAAGTGAACTTCATGTCAAAAAACAAGGAATAAAAATCAAACTTGGGTTAAAAAAAATATATATATATATAGATAGATAGATAGATAGATATATCAAAGCGGGAGGAGGGGCACCCAAGCAGTTCAGTCGGTTGAACAACCGACTCCTAATTTCCGCTGGGGTCATATCAGAGTCTTACAGTTAAGTCCCAAATTGGACACTCTACTCCGCATGGATTATGCTTGAGATTTTCTCTCTCCCTCTCTCTCTCTAATAATTAAGTAAAATCTTTAAAAAAAAAAAAAATCAAAGGGGCCTCAGACACAAAGCACATACGAAATAAGAGCCAGGCTAACAGGGCACCGGGGGATCCTGAAGAGTCTGACTCCGGCTCCAGTCCAGAATCCAGATGGCTGTCCCCCCGTGTTCTAAAAAGCTAACTTGCAAAGCACTGTAATCATTCACAGTACTGGAAAAAAAACAAAAAAGTTAATCACCCAAAACCAATTTTCTGTGGTTCTGCAATTAGCTCCTTGACTTTCCTAATTTGGTTTGAATCTGTTTAATAAAGGTCACTCGGAATTCCCCAAACTCAGGCAGCCTGAGTGCTAAGCACACCCCAGATAAGAAGTTACATTTGCAAAAACCTCACGACACTCCCATGGATAGGCACGGATAGGGTTATCCAACTAAGGCCAATATTGTTTATCCTTATGGCTCAGCAGTCTGATGTAATAAAAAGGAAGAAAATAAAAGGGGGGAAAACACTCATTTTACCATGCACTGCTAGTTGGGTCTCTTCCCTCATCAACCCATCCAATCTACAATGATCCTATGAGAACAGAACTATTATTGAAAGCTTCTTCATGGGTTTCTGGCCGCTGTGTGTGCGTGTGCGCACGCATCCGTGTGTGTGTATGTGTGTGTGTGTGTGAGAGAGAGAAAGTGATAGGCAAGGCAAGAAAGGAACGATCCAGCAAGAGAACTAACACAAATAGCCTGACAGAAAAAAAACTACCATAATTACAGTGGCTTTAAAAAACATTTTGCAAAGTATGTAATAGGGAACCCACCCACGTCTTCTCTTCTCTTCTCATCTCAACCTTACTCTCTGCTGTCCTCTCTGGGGAGGTCCTCTCTCTACCCTAGAATCCTACCAAAGGGAGTGGCCTGGTTCTGCCTGACCAACTACCCATCATATATTTTAAGTGAGAATCTGGAGGAAAACATTACACCTGACTTTGGTCCCTAAGGTTAACGGTGATGGAAAGCAAAGTACCTGCCAGTTACCAGAGACCATCTTCAGAGCCTGAGATCAAGGAGGGAATGGCCCCGATCAAGAAAATAAGCTATGGCACTCCAAGAAAGTGGCCCAACTTACTCTCCTCGGGATGGTTTTTCCCTTTACACAGGGCAGTACAGCCATCATTTGCAACTTGAGACAGTCGCAAGGCAAGCCCTGTTAAGTGTAGTTTTAAATGAGCAAACCCCTCCCCCAACCCCGTTCCAACATCTGCTCCATCCAAAACATCAAATCAAGGGGAAGACTTTCCCAAAGGCTGAGAGTTAAGCTACTTACTGACAGCTGGAAGCTTAATCACTGCTTTTCTTAGAGCATTAACTCCCACTAGCCAATGACTACACATTCTATTAGCCATGGAAATTAACATGTGTCCAAAATTCCCAAAGACATTGGCCTAATCTGAAAGGAAATCGGGTGGTGAGATTAAAGCAAATTGCCACGGAGCCCTTGCTCTCCTTTCTTTGCTCTTTTAATTGGGATTTCAAAGAAACACATGTTTGACGAGGATGCTCGGCTACCAGGAAACATCCACGTTCCGAGAGCCCAGAGACATCCCGAATGGTTGTCTGAGCTTCTCCACACCGCTGACCTCCTGGGACCATCCAAGCCCCAAGGGATTGTCCGTCTATGTCCAGTGCCCCTCAGTCAAGCTCCACGGGGCACCCTGATCCCGTCCCTGCACACACACGCTCACCGGTTTGGTCACAGAACGCCAAACCTTGGAAAGGAAACTCAGGGAAACGAGTTTCCACATTCCTCAGCGCCTTCAACTTACCACCACCTTTGTAGCAAACATGTACTTGTCCCGAAGCTGAAAGTCCTTCACTTCCTCCAGGATCACTTCCTGGTTCTCCCGGGACTGGAAAAAGTCCGTACTTCGGAAAACCGTGGAGTAGCCAGAGGGTTCATGCCGTTCCACGTAGATGGTGTTTGGCTTGTCATAGGGATCGATACCCCTGGAGGAAAAGAGAGAAGTCGCTATCATCACCCCGTTTAAGCAACGGGAGACACCACGGTTCTGCCAGGCAGACAGCCAACTGGAACGGGGGGGACACGATGGCGGGATCTACAAATGATACGCTCCCAGCCACAAACAAAGCCCTGTGGTTGCTCCTTGGCTCAGTGGAGAGGCAAAGGGATCGTCCTTAGTCAAGTTTTGATGTTGTTACTGCTCCCTTTGAAGCACCCTGGGTGTCCCTCAAGGCAAGCCTTGGCCAATGCCTGAGATGAGCGAAAAGAAGGAAAAGTAAAAGGCGGGGGTATTTCGGAATCAATAAGCATGGGACTGCTCGAGGCTGCCGGTGAGTTTCTGGCCTCAAGCTGTAAAGCTCAGAGAAGGAAGGAGCATGTTTTCCCAGGCCTCTAGAAGAAACCACATGAGGAACCAGTGAGCCTGACCTTGTTAACGGGCACTGCCCTTTCTGTCTGTCCCTTTCTGATCCGTGCAATCGGGACTCACTCTATCAGTACAGTCATGTTCTGTGAGGCTCCTCTGCAAACTTTCTCACATGTACTGATCTCCCTGATCCCCTTCAGAAATTCAGAGCTCACTGCTCCCCCGCTCCCTGTGCTCCGTCAACAGAGCACCCACCCCGCATGCACTCGGGACCTGCATGTCAAAATCCTACTCTTCCGAGGTCATATTCAAGGCCCCTCTTCCAGGAAGCCCTCCCCCAAAGCTCTCCTCCCTTCTCCCAATACCCACCATGTACCCACGCAGCGTTCAATTTCAACATTATGTGAGTTTCAAACAAAGGTAGAAAGCTGCTTGGGGTGGGTGCATTTTGGAATCACTCTCAAGACTTCATACAATGCTGCTTCTGATTCACAGTGATGCTTCTGATTCACTGTGTACCTTTGTTCACCATAATGTGTCTGAGCCTCCCGGAGAGAGCAGAGATCCCTTCAAAGGCCACGTCTTATATTTCTCTTTGTCCTACAGGGCTCCCAGCTGACCTGAATCTTGTTGCCCTGAATCCGTGGACCACAGTACAAAGACTATTCCAAATGCAAAGCTGTAAGGTTGACTTGATCCAACTCCCTCGAGAAGAGGCTCAGAACTGGGTTCCACCCCAAATAAGGCCCCCAGCAACAGCTGGGAGGAGGACTACTCTGCCTCAGGTTCCCTAATGCTCAACCAGATACCAGGCCAGGCGTACCGCCCAGCACATGGGAAAAATCAGGAGCGCCTCCAAGGGAGGCTACAGGGATGACCCAAGGAATGGCAGGATTCGCTTCTGGGCCTGTCTTTGCACAGGGCCATATGCATGATGGCTCTCAGGGTAAGGAAGGCTCAGATATAAAATTTCTGTAAAGATACACTGTCAAGAGCACAGGAAGGGAGGGAGGGTGGGAAGGAGAAAAGAGGGGAGGAAGGAAAGGAGGAAAGAAGGAAGGGGGAGACACAAAATAGAAAACCAAAAGAGATGATTTTGGCCCCACAATCTGGAGTCTTAGCAGGGCACTAGAGAAGCCAGTGGCCTTGGTCCTAGTGCAGGAGAGAAGCGCTCGTCATCAGACTCCCCGTGTGCGTATGTGTGGGGGTGGTGGCATGTTCTCTTCTTTTCCACAATTAGAAGTACTGATTAAAGTACTTCCTCTACCCTAGAGGATATGCAAATTAAAACAAAGCTGCTGGGTATTTTTAAAAAGGCAGAGAGAAAGGGACCTTCGCTCAGATAATTTTGAGACTGAGCTCACCTCTGCTCTTCCTTTCCTAAACAAAACCGGTATCTAGAGATAGAAAGAGCTGTGACTTTCCTCCCAATTCTATTCTGTGATCGCTAGGTGGGCCTCCCCTTTCTGAGAGCCCCTCCACCTCCGAGCTCTGCTACTCCGCCGTCAATAGCCTTCCATGATTTTCTCTTCTCTATGCCCTCATTTGAAAATTCCAAGCCTTGCTCCATCTCTAAGCACAGTCCCCCGTCCTCACCTGGCCTCAGCTACAATCCTTCAGTGATGCATGCTCCCCAGGGCATCCCTGAGTCCCTCCCCCACAGCCCTTCCATGGTCCCGTCTTGCCGATCTCCAGCTCCGGATTCCATAGATCACTGGTTTTCTGGACTCCTGCTGCCCCAAGGCTGCCACGCATTATTGAATAAATGTATGCCATTATTCTCAGAGAGGTTAGATTTCACTCTCACTTATTACAGGAACTCCTAGGGGAAAAATCCTCCAAATGGCCTGAAATGCCCTGACACCAGACACATAATTATCTAAATTCAGCAAAGCCAGCCCTCTCCCCTAAGATATCTGTATATGTGCACGGAAGGAAAAGGTACAACATTCAAATTCCCAAGCGTGATGTTCCTTTACTCAGTCATCCTGCTGGATGACTGTGTACCCTCTTAATATATGGTATATAAACAGAGAAAGGGCAATTTGTCCCCTTAAAACATAAATAAAGCAAAAGGAAGTTCTACATACTCCTCGGGTAGAGGTTATACTTGGATAAGACTGTGGTCATAATTTCACTAAGACACCACAACCTCTGCCCAAGTTAAAAAAAGAAAAAAAAAAAAAAGAATCAGAAACAGCTGCCCTCTTTGAAAAGGAAATCCAATGGAGCCTCAAGATACTCAGCTCTAAGACCCCTCCTTGTGCTCCCTCCATCTCTACTGTCCTCATTTACCAAGGAAGCAACACCAACTCAAAGACATTCCTCTGCAAACAGCTACAAGAAGCACAGGCAGTATGTACTACTGCACTTAACGAGCACTAAAAACTATACGGAAAACTCGAAACACAAACTTAGAATTATAAATGAATATACACATGGGATATCTCAGTCACAGAGGCCTAACCTCAAATAGAAAAGAGTTCCTGGAAATCAATAAAAAGACTCACCATTCAATTTTTTTTTTTTTAAAGATTTTATTTATTTATTTGTCAGAGAGAGAGAGGGAGAGAGAGCGAGCACAGGCAGACAGAATGGCAGGCAGAGGCAGAGGGAGAAGCAGGCTCCCCGGTGAGCAAGGAGCCCGATGTGGGACTCGATCCCAGGACGCTGGGATCATGACCCGAGCCGAAGGCAGCTGCTTAACCAACTGAGCCACCCAGGCGTCCCAAGACTCACCATTCAATAAAAAAAGGGTCAAGGGTATGAAAAGATGTGTCATAAAAATAGAAATAAAAATGATGCTTAAGCAGTTAAAAGATGTTCAAACTCATTCATAATAAGAAAAACTCAAACTAAGACTATACTGAGATACTCTGTCTTACCTGACGCATTGGCTGTGGAGAGAAGCACAGTTCTATGTTACTGAGATGAGAGCAGATTTTGACAGTCTCCACAGATTTGGCAATCTCTACCAAAGTTACAATTTCAGTGCTTTATTCAGTGCCAAACTGACCAAAGCCCCTGCTTTGGTGGAGCTTTCATTCTACCAAAGAGAGAAAGACAAATAATAAGCCTAATAATCCCATATTAGAATGTGGTAAGTGTTATGTAAAAAAAGAACAGATCACGGCACAGTAAATGACAGGGGAGTAGTTGCAATTTTAACAGGATCCTTAGGACAAGCCTCATTTAGTAAGTGTTATTGGAGCAGACTTGAATGAGGTAAGGGAGTAAGCAATAAGTGTATCTTGAAGAAGAACAGTCTAGGCAGGGAAAAAAGCAAGGGCAAAGGCCCAGTGGTAGGAACGTGCTTGGCACTGATCTGAGAGAAGTGATGGTGCATATTAAAGCGTTCAAAGCGGAGAGAGGAACAACATGATCTGACCTGTTTTTACAAAGATCAACCTGGCCATGTACTGAGAATAAACTGCAGAAGGACAGAAGTAATGGAAAGACCAGGTGGACAACTAACGAGTGACACCAGTGGCTTGGAGTAAAGTCATGGCAGAGGAGTAGATCCTGGATATTAACCGAAGGTAGAGACAAAGGATTTCCTGATAGGTAGAAGGCGAAGCAGGAAACAAACATGAAATTCAGTGACAACTCCAAGTTCTTGGCCTGAGCAACGAGAAACTGAAATGGGTAAGGTTCCAGGGGGAGCTGACTGGGAGCAGTGAAGGTCAAGGGTCAATGTGGGAGGAATCATGTTTGCTGAGTGGGAAGGGGTGGAGTGACCCAGTGACCCAGCAGGTCTGCTCCTGAGTATCTGTCCTGCCTGTTCGTCTGCACGTGTCCAAGAGCACCTGCATCCTGTAACAGTGAAAGGCCAGAAGCAAGGATGACTAACACCAACCGTACGTCTTCAAGGCCAGCCCTACTGACTTCTCTCTCCTTCTCAGAACCCCAACAGGGGCTCCCCGCTGCTTTTGGAATTCAGTTCAGATTCCTTTACCAAGCACTGTGGTTTTGGATACCAGTGTCCCTTCCCATACGTCACCCAACACACTGTCCAGAAGTTAGACTCCCTGTTCCCCCACCCAAGCGCCACAGGGACCTGTCTCTGCCTTTGGCCACTCTGTTTCTGTCTGGCATCCCTACCCCGCACACCTGCAGGCCCCTGTGACCTCCGTCCTCTTGCACATGTCTTGGCTCCTAAGCAACCTCCTCCATGGACTGTCTGGGACCGTCCCGTCTGGAAAGACTACGCTCCCCCCTCCGGCTTCTCCCGCTTACGTCTGTGACTTCTACGCTCTTCCAGGATGTGTGTTATGTGCACGAAATGCCTTTTCTTACCGCGTCAGCTACGGTCTCCTTAATAACTATATCCATAAATTATTCAACTTCTTCTACCCTAAAGCATCTAGCATGTTTTATATTCAGCAGATATCCAAAGAAAATACGTTATGAATGAACAAGTGAATAAATGTTATATAGAGAAAAATCCCACTTCTGTTATCATGCTCGAAGAGTGAAGGTCTTTAGAAATTCTAATCCACGCAAGTGCCCCAAGACTCCCCTCGGTTCCCCGACGGATTAAAAAATGCAAAAGCTCCATTACTTCTCTCACAAATAACCTTCCTTTCTCATCCCCCACTGCCCCGTGCAGTGAGTGTGTTGTACTCGAAGCTCTAATTCCCAGGTCTAAAATGTGCCTTTCCGAACCACCTGCTCCACATTTCAGGTGAGGGCAGGTCTGTCCTCCAGGAAGGAACTAGAACTGGAGAAAGGTGATTACATAATTCAAACTTCTTAGATGGATGACTTACCAAGAAAAGGACTTCACGTGTTCCTGAATCAGGATCCAGGTCTGGCCAAAATCATCTGACTTCCATAGCTGCAAAGACCAAAAGGACAAGAAGGGATCAAGATGCAGGGATGCCTGAGTGGCTCCCTTGTCTGACTTTAGCTCACGTCATGATCCTGGGTCTTGGGTTCGAGTCCCACATCAGGCTCCCTGCTAAACAGGGAGCCTGCTTCTCTCTCTGCCAGCCATTCCCCCACTTGTGCGTGCTCGCCCTTGTGCTCTCTCTCTCTCTGACAAATAAATAAATAAAATCTTTAAAAAAAAAAAAAAGAAGAAGAAGAAGAAGAAAAAGAAGCAAGAGGCAGGCATAACCTGAACAGCATGGCCATCAGGCCCCACCATAAGTAACACACAGTCTGGGAAGGCCGGCCGGGAGATCAGCAAGGCCAGCTTGGTTACTCCAAATCCGAAGAGTGGGGGGTTGGGGGCAGGCAAGAGCTGTACCTTTCTGTTCCTCTCTAGAGTTACTAAGGCCTTAAAAACAGCTGTAAGGAAAAATGAGTGGGGACTGTCTTCCATTTACGGATCATCTGAAATTACAGTTTACTCGACACCAGCCATGAGGGGTAGTAAAAACAAAAGGATTACACTCTGTACTTTCCTGCTTTTCCCTAAAAACTCGTAATGTCCCACAGTGATTAAAGGTGAACAGAGGGGACCCTGGCTAAGTGCAAAGGCAAAGAGCACCAAGGGGAACCACTTGAGTACAAACGACACGGCCGAGAGTGATGAACTTGCTGGTTTGGCCAAAGCCCCTGAACTCCCAAACACAGCACCTGAGCGTTCCTCCAGCCCTAGCGACCACATAGGAAGAAGGAGAAGACTAAAAATAATGTTAATCCACCTACACAGTAAACTGACCCAGCCTGTACTTAGATTACTCCCTAAGGCAAGGGAAGGTAAACAGATCATGTTTTGGTTAAACAACCTGCGAAGAAAAAGAACCGTTCCAAGGTTCCTCAGACCCAAGCCGTTCAAAACTCATCATGAATCCAATCCTACAGGGTCTGCCGGTTTCATGGGATTATACCAGACCAATAGCCCCGATTTGGCAAGTATCAACCTTGAGATATAAACCCTACTTGGGCTTTCTCCCCATCTCACTCTCCTTCAAATCCAAATTAAAAGAGAAAAATACATATATTTGTATTACAGGTGCGTGCGCACACACGCACACATACACACGTAGGGAAAAAATTAAAGTTAATGGTAATTTCAAATAAATGGTACAAAAGCAGTGAGTTTAAGGTGGGGGATGGGAAAAGTAGAACAGAAATTCAAGAAGAGGTCCCAGCAGAGCCCAGACTCTAGGCTTCCTTAGCTGGCTCTCGCGGATTAATTTCCAGAGCTTCGAGGTAGCCCCACACTCACAAAGGTGCATCGATACCGAGAAGGGTATGATGTTTGGCTACAAGGGCCTGCGGAGCACCGGGCATTGCCCCCAGGGAGCTGGGAGGCAGACAGAGAGGGCCAGGGAGAGACACTTCCCTCAGGCTTGGGAAGTCAACTAGCGCAAAGGTTAGCTTGGCAGAGGAAGAGGGAGGGTGCGGGGGGAGTTCACCCAGAGGACACACAACCCACAGGGGCAGGAACAGAAAACCAGAGAAGCAGGGTTCCAGAGCTCTCTTACCTGCTTGTTGGGGTGAGACCTGTCAAAGCCCAGGAGAAGGTTGGAGGCCTTGCTGTGCAGGAGGAGATCGGCTGCCCGGAACGGGATGGAAAAGCCATGGATAGTGTTGCAGAAGTCAAACGTGATCCAGAGGTACTGGGCGTAAGCATCTGCAAAGATGTACTGCAAGAGAAAAAAGGCGAGCTCAGAGCGGGGCTCCGCCAGGGCCGCCCAACACCCCGTCCCCAGCGGTGTGTGCAGGGTCGGGGGCCTGCAGGGGCCCCCACTTGGCCTCCTCCGCATCTGCCGGCCGGGAGGAGATGCTGGCACATACCCAGCAAGGCTCAGGGAAGGAAAGGGTGCAGGAGAGGCTCCCCTGTCACCAGCTCAGCAAGCTAGTCAAGCCTATTTTTTCCTTGAACTGAGCTGGCCATTCCCACCCTCCGGCAGGTCACTGAGGCACCATCGGAGGGCAGCGGGGACCCAGAAAGCCTGCTCTTCAGAGTGGCTGCACACAGATAACCCTGCTTCTCTCCCTCCATTCTCTGAGCAGCTACGGAAGTCCCTATAATCACAGCCTAGATGGATTAGGGTGTGGATGGACTCCTAGATGGATTAGGAGGATTAGCTCCTTCTTCTGGCCACCAGGCCAGGGGACAGGGCAGCTCCAAGGACCAAGCTGCAGGAGGGACTGGCCGCCTCACTTGGGGGCATGGCAGGAAAAGCTCTGGTGAGCAGGGCCTTCACCTGACTTAGCCCTGCCCAGGTGAGCGGCTCTGAACAAGTAGGACCGCACAGTGACTGCCAGCCTAGAGGGTCCTCCAGGAGAAAGGACCACGGCAATTCAACCTCACAAACGTACGTGGGCTATCCCCCGTGGACTGGATGCTGCGGGCGCCACAGTGAACACCCAGAATCCTTGCAGTCTCGCATGCGAGAAGACAGACGTGACCGTGGGTGACTTGTAACTCAGGGGGAAATGAGATTCTGCGAGGAACCACAGACAGAGTCCCATGAGAGCACACGGTCCAGAGGAGTCCCAGTTTGGGAGCTCAGAAGGGACTCAGGGAAGATCTGGCCCTTGGAGGGCAGGCAAGACTTCCAGAGGGATAGAATATCCGAGTCGAGGGCAGTATGAGTTCGGGAACACAGGGGACAAAGGTAGAGCATGGACTTGAGGACGGCCAGGAGGGCCTGCGGGAAATGTCTACAGAGCACAGAGGGCGGCAGGCCTGGAACGCACAAGAGAGGTGGGAAGGGCAGCCCCTGTTTCTGGAAGGGCGAGGGCAGCTCAGTGGCTCAGCGTGGCCAGAGCAAGGGGGACCCAGCTCCCAGCACCCACCAGTCCCTGAAATTCCAGAAGTCAACAATCCAAAGGAACCCGTACCAGCACACTTCCCCTCACTAACTGCAGCTGACCCAGATCAATCTTCTGCTCAGAATCCTTTTGGCACGAGCAGTGAAGGCATGTCTTAATACTCGTGCAGGTCTGCACGCTGTGTTCACGTTCTCGCTCCTCCGCCCTTGGCTTTTCCCTCCCCGATTCCCAGGAGCGCATTCTACATGTTCTTTCTCTCGTGTTCCTTCCACGGTCTCTAAGGCCGAACTCCAAACTCCGTCAGAGCCTCATTAAATCTAACCGTAAAGGCGAGCGAATGTTTTGAAAGCATAAACAACCACAAGCAAATGCAATGTTGTAAAAACAATTATGATCCTTAAAGGACCATCATCATTTCTGGCATAAGAGGCATTCCCTAGAAATGCCGGAGCCCCTTTTCCTGCTCCGAAACCATCTCTGTTACTAGGGAATGGAGTGCTCTCAGTTTAGAAAGATTTCTCCAGAAACCTATTCCATCGTTTCCAGGGGTTTCACATTTGAAGATATAAAAATCATGAAGCTGGTTATCAAACGTATTATCTGTCATTCACGATGACAGCTCAATGTGTCCAGAACAGGGGCGCCTGGCTGGATCAGGCGGTGAAGCCTACAACTCTTGATCTTGGGTTGCGAGTTCGAGCCCGACGTTGGGCATAGAGTTTATCAGAAAAGGGAATGTGTCACGAGCACGTACTGTGTGCTGGGCACTGAGCAGACAAGCTGTGCCAGCCTCAGCTCATGCTCCTCCTAGGCTCATCCCATCCTTCTGGTACTCACAGCCAGGTCCTCCTTTGGGTACAATCTTATCCTCCTTCACTAACCAGGATGCTGGAGTACAGAGAGGTTAACCGGCCAAGGTGAGCCAGGAAGCAGCATCTACAGGGGTGTCTGGCAGGTTCGGAGCCCATCCCTTCACTGCTCACCCAATCTTTCCTCCTCTCCTCCAACAAAGAGGCAGAACTTGCAGAATTTCATGCCTCGGTGTCACCCTGTGCCCCAGGGCTCATCCACGCGCCTCCCTCTCTCAGTCAGCTCCCCGGTCTTGTAGAGGGAGCTCCCTTCCCTGGCCTTGGGCAACGCCATCTCATGTCAAGCCTCCGAGCCCCGCACCTGATGGGCCCGTCCTTGACTCTCCTCTGGCTCCTTCTTCCTCCATCTCCACTCCCCACCCTCGCATAACCTCACCGCTCTTCCATCCTCTGCTGCAAACCTGCTCCATTGTCCACAGGCCCCATGCAGCTTCAACTACCACCGCCGAGATCAGGCATGTTGGGACTTTTAATCTACAGTCTGATCCTGACTTTGGACCTGACCCTCCTCAGCATCTCCCCTCTGATGCACTGAAGAGACTCACTACATCCACAACGGAGACCTCTGATGCCATCCCGCCATGCCCCAAGCTCTCCACACGCTACACCTGCTTCCGGCCTGAGTCCTCATGATGAGAGCTGGGATTTCACTCCATTGCCTGGCCTCGGCCCCATGCCCCATCAGCTACCCACCCAGTTATGTTTTCCTCTTCATATCTCTGCTCTCCTTTGCATCCCCAGTGCTACCCATGTTGTGAACTCCCTGCTAGAGCCCGTGAGCAAACTGGGGCCAGGCGCTGGGCTTTTTAGGCCCCCTTGTGCCATCCCAGGCTTGGCAGGGTGTGAACTGCTCAAGAGGGTGATAGGAACTTTGGCTGAGGAACCGGGCAGCATCATGTCTATATTACCATGACCCCCTCATGACTTCCTGACCCCTCTCTTATCTTTCCCCTTTCTGATCCATCCTGCCTCTTGCCAGAACACACGTTTCCCTAAAAGACTCTATGTACAATGAGTCCCCTATTCAAAGATCCTTCCATGGCTCCCCACAGTCTTCGAGGAAAAAAGCGAACTCGTCCATCTTCAGCTGGGGGCCTGCCTCGTATCTCAAAGAGCCCCAGAGCCAACCCTCCATGCCTGAGAAGTGAGTCTCCCTCCTGCCTGTACAGAAGCCACCGACACCTTGACATTGCCCATGGCCTCCTCCCCATCAAGGACTCCCACCAACTCTGCTCAGCTACTGGAATCACACCCGTCCTTGAAGCTCCATTTCCAATCCCAAGTACCCCGTGAAGCCTTTACTCCTCTGACCTGACCTCACTCAATCCCCAGCCACCACCACCCCCCCGCTGCCGTGACTTCCCACCATCATGGAGGCATGCTATGATGTAACTGTGCCACATGAGCACAGGACGGGAGGTACAGTGTGTCCCACTCTGCCTTGAGGTCCCCAGACTGCCTGCCGTCCAGTCTCCCCGAGGCCAGCCCCAAAGATGTGCCAGCAGAGCCAACCTACTGACCTACCGGGTGCTTCCTAGACTGTGTGAGGTCAGAAATACCCTCAGACACACCCACCTCTCCCACCCTGTTTGCAATCACGCAATGTTCAGCTTTGGGCTTAAAACGATGTTTCCTCTGAAAACACAAATACCTCTAGAAGCATAACATAAGCTACAGAACACACCTCCATGTTCGTATAAGTGATTCTCTCCAGGTCTCAGTGGGGGAACCAGGAGCATGATGACATGGGAAGAGGAGGCAATGAAGGAATGTATCTCCAGGAGATGAGAATGAAGGGAAAGACAGAGAGGACTACCTCTCAAGGTTGGGAAGCCTAGCAGCACACTCTGGGGCTTTCTGGAAGGAGCCCCAGACGTACTGCTTGGCTGACCTCAGGTGCGCCATGGGGCCAGCAGCACTGCCAGGGGGCCCAGGCTGCACACTGCTTCAGGGAGGTGGCACGCAAGGCTGAGAAGAAGGAAGTGGGGCTGCTGGCAGGTGCAAAAATAGACCCAAACCCTCACATGACCCCACAGTCACTCCATTTCCATCACAAAGCAAAACCACTAGAGCAGAGCTTGCTTGCCTAACCAGCCCTTCCCTTCCCCTTCCACAGGCATACCCCCTCAGGGTTCCACGGGGCCCTCAGGTGACATCCTCGCCTATCCAGGCTGCTGACCACAGTCATTTCAACCATTTCAAACCCTGCTTCCTGACCACACCCTCAGGTCCTCACACAGAGGATGTGCCTGGGCCCAGCGGGCCTGGTGGTATCGACAGCGAGGCACCTAGCCTGTGTGATTTTTCTCAGGAAGTGGCAGGTCTCGTGAGGCAATGCGCCTTCCAAGGCAAAAGTAACAGAAGTAACCGGCACAGTGAGAGTCACAGCTTCCTTCCTGAGAAGTTGGGGAGGGGTAACGACTTTCTTTGGAGAACTAGAAACTCAGCAGAGAAGGCTGCCTCTCTAACCCCACTCCGTCTGCTCCAGGCCTGTGCCCCACCTGTCGCTAGGTTTTCCAAGAAGGTGGCTCCTCTTTCATCTCCCCATGGGCTCCAAAGTAGGTCCATCTCTCCAAGGAGAAGGCCAAGACGCCCCACCTCCCACATTGGGAGGGCCCAGGCTGAAGGCATGCCCTGGCCTTCCCACACCCCAAACTCCTTGACAACCACCCCTGGTGTTCTCTTCTTGCGTGCCCCAGTGCCCTTGCTCCTTCTCCACACCTAATGCTCCAAAAGCCCCTCTCCACCCTGCACAAACCCGCTCTGCAAGCCCAGAACATCGTCCTTCCTGTCTTCTGACTACTCAGACATGGATGTGGGCCCAGCAGCTGCTCACCACACCCCATGACAAGCAGGAAGGAAGTCAGAACCTGATTGCAGACATCTGTGCCCTTGTGGTAGGAGGTGAAGCGGGGGAGCAGAGGGAGCTGAAAAAGAAGATTCCAAGGGGACCACAGAGTGGTCCCAAGGCCACAACTGCAATACGAGTTAGCTCTGGGACAGCGTGTAAAGAGAAGGATAGTAATAGCCGACAGGTACATCCTGGCCAGGTGAGTCATCCGAGTGTTATCTGCTGCTTGCAAGGCAGGAGGCATACAGAGCTCTCCAGGGGAGAGGGGGCACAGCCAGCAACCCGGGCCCTGGGGCAGGGAGCCTCACCTCTTGGAAGCCAAGAGCAAACCGGACAGCAGGGTTCACCTAGCTCTGGGAGCGCGAGGTCCCAGGCCTGCCCGACCAAATGCGGCGGGAGAAGCCAGTGCAGATGGCTGGCAGTCTTGTCCCCAGAGCCAAATCCCTCCAATACCTCTTCCTTGCTTTTCATTGTGGAGTGAGTTAGGGGAGTGAGGGCGGGGAGCTGTTCCTAACTGCTGCTCTGCTCTGAGATCATCACGCAGGGCTAATATTAACCAGCACATACCAGTAGTAATTATTCTAGTTTTAAAAAAAAAATTATTTCTATACCTGTTAGTAAATAGCTGCTTCCTTGAAACCCGAGAGAGGCCCCTCCTAAGCACCAGCGGCCTGGTCCCTTCCCCAGGGCCTGTCCACCATCCAGCAACTAAAAGGTTAATGTCCGGCCAGGCAGGGTTGCCTTCAGGACCCAGCTCCCTGTGGACGGGCTCTGTTCCAATCGGCCGGGGCCATTCCAGCGGCTAAAGATTTTGAATACAGGCAACCCGAGAAGCTAGTGGTTGGGGGGCCACCTGGCTGGAAGACCCTGAGGGTCTTGCTCCTTTCTGGATGAGCAAAGAGCAGCAGCTTCCCTTCCCTCGAAGCTTTCTGATCGTCCTTAGCAGCAGTCATCCTGCCTCTGGACACGAGCGAGGGCTCCCCAGAGCAAGGAAGAAAGCGGTCAAGTAACAACTGCTCAAGCCACAGAGACCTAACCTCGCAGGCTGCCTCATTCCTGCCCTCTCGCCTCCACCTCCCCTCCATCTCTCTGGGGGCCCAGGGCCATCTCAAATCATTGCCTCCTCCACAACCAACTGCCCGGGTTCTACGGCAGAAACAGAGCCCCGGGCCAGCCAGCTGGGAAAACAAACGCAGACACAGCAGTATCTGCCCCCTTGCCTCGGTGTTTGTTCTTAGACCGGTACAGGTTGGAGGGAGGGGGACGTGCGCAGGCGTGAACACCCACACATGCGCTGGTGATGCCCCGAAACCAAGCATTCAGCAAGCACCCTGGAAGACGTGCAGCACACGGGTGGTGAAAGTCCCGGAAAACCCATGTAACACTTTTGCCGTCCATGAGACGGGCAGCTCATCGGTTGGCAGATTTTCTTTCTTCGCGTTAGCCTGACGCTGTTTGTCCAGAAATCGTGCCTGGCCAGTACCCGGCCTGCCTGATCACACACGAGATGACGACAAGGAGCTCCTTCTCCCAGCCCCGCCCCGCACCCTGAGCACGGCGGTCATCCCCCAATTCAGCCCCATGAAGTTCCGACCGGCGGGACGGCGCCCCCTTACGCGCTTGTTGTCCGCAGGGCTGTGGTAGAACTGGGCGATCACTGCCTCACTGCTGTTTCCCACGCCGAAGCTCAGTTTCTCGGAAATTCTCTTGAACGATTTCCCATAGTCGTAAGACACGTACACCTGAGTCAGGGAGGAGAGGACAAAGAAGAGCTGATGAGAAATGTGGCCGAGAGACCTCTCCCTCCGCCCGCACCTGCCAACGTCCCACCCTGGATCCCGAACGGCATTCCCGGCAGGTCCCTGGTGTCAGGATGCGACAGATGTGAAGAGATGACGCGCCCAGGAGAAGCGGGGCACCCCTCCACCCGCCACCCCAAGAGTGTGGGAACAGGAAGCCCGGGGAGCACCGCATCCCCTTACTGCCCAGGGGACACAGGCTCCTTTCTGAGGCCAAGACGCGTTCCTGCAGAGACTGCTGGGGGGGACCCATGGATGGAAGCAATGATGACCTCCTCCCCATGGCTGGGTTAAGTGTTGAGCAAATTACATCCAGAGGCAGACAGAATGTGGTTGTCCAAGGGGGAGGGATGGGGAACTTGTTTTGCCATCTGTTGAGATGTCCCCAAAAAGTAATATAATTCTTCAACCCTCTGCTGGGGAGGTCTGTTCCTACAACACTGCAGAGGATAAAAAAGGAAACCCTCCCAGGCCTCCACAGAGAAGCCCAAGAGACAAGAAAGAAGTACTGAGTGATTCACTACGCACGGAGGTTGAATATACAGGTTCGAGACACCCCCGCCCCCCGCCCCAGCACTCAGGCTCGCTGATGCTGCCACCCAGGGTGGCGGGGAATGGCCATGGGAGCCCGGCACACGCCAGCACGACGACTTCTCCCCTGCTTCTGGGGCTCTGGCTACCCCGTAACCACGGTGGTAAAACCCAAGAGGAACCGTCATTCACGGAGTGCTTCCTAGGGACCTGACACCGTACCACCCTCTCCATGTGGAAGAGCTCAGGGCGCTCTCCCGACAGCCCGGCGTGGCAAAACCAGTTATTAAAATCACTTACACATAAGGCGGCAGGGGCTGAGGGGATTAGCTGCTTGCCAAAGAAACAGAGAAGGGAAGGAGAGGCGTGGAAATGTGATCCAGGCTGCCTGCCTCCAAAGCCATCACACCTCAGGCAAGGGATGGTGGGATAGAAGCCACCAGGTGTTTCGCACCTAGACTGACTACCTAGGCGACGTGAAATTAACATAATCAGGGGATTAAAAACAAGGCTGACAGTCGAAGCCTTAGTTAGGACTGTGGTAAGTTCGAAAGGAAAATGACAGGTGAATCCCAACAAGAACAGGAACGGCTGGGCTCAACGGCTGGGAAAAGTACTGCCACCAGGGCCCACTGATGCCACAGCAAACACATCCAAAGGGTCTGTCGCGAGCAGGAGGCTGTGCTAAGTGCCAGATAGGCAAAGACGTGGCCTTCATACTCGTTGTAAATGTGCAAATGTTGGTAAGCAATAACCCTTATAAAGAATGAACTCACACGGCAGGTACAGAGGGAAGCGGGAACGCACACGGGGCGTTAATATTTATTAGATGTAAAGGTTAGAAGAGCACAGATAGAGCCTCTGCCAGTATCTGGGCCACAGTGACAGAAACCTCATTATGAACGTCATGCTTACAACACAGCGTGTGTCCCCAACTGCCAAGCACGCAGGGAGGGGCTGGCATCAAAGGAGCTTTAAAAGGCAGCAGGCTGAGAAGCTCACAGATGATCTCAGTGGGTAAAAAAACAAAGTGATACCTCCTCACTTCCAGTCTCCTGGCCCAGAACGGACACGGAGGGGCCCTGTTAGGTTCAGATGTCACATGTAGGGAACAGACGGCTCCTCAAATAGGGAACTCGGCCCCCTCCAGCTCCAACATTCCCCAAATTGATACTCCACTGTGAGTTACCTCCTCAGAAGCACAGAGGTGATAATAAGTCGTATTAGGGTATCACTTTTCAGTATATATTACCGCTCTTCATCTTTAAAAACTCTGTCTCCCTTGGTGTACCTAGAACATCACACGTCCTCAGTAAAGATTTCTGGAATTACATGTGATTCGAAACCACAGAGTGAGGTCAATGAATGTGTCCCACAGATGTATAAAAGAGAGTGACACAAATAAACCAGTGAGTGAGTGAATGAGGGATTATTTCCATTTAAAGGATGACTGGGGCGCCTGGGTGGCTCAGTGAGTTAAGCCTCTGCCTTCGGCTCAGGTCATGATCTCTGGGTCCTGGGATCGAGCCCCACGTCGGGCTCTCTGCTCAGCAGGGAGCCTGCTTCACCCCCCCCACCCTGCCTCTCTGCCTACTTGTGATCTCTGTCTGTCAAATAAATAAATAAAACCTTTAAATAAATAAATAAATAAATAATGACAAAAACCAAGACTCAGAGAAGTTAATGACCAGCCCAGGGTCCTACAGCTAGGAAGTGACAAAACGTAATGGGTTCCCTCCAGTCGCAGGTCCAGTTATCTGTCCACTCTTGCAAGTTATCCCCCCCAGGAGAATGCTGTCTGCTACAGACATGCATTGCTCTGTTAAAGGGGGTGATCGTACACTGGGGCTCCAGGCTGGGCAGTGGAAGGAGTGGGGGACAGACAGGGTAAAACACCAACTTGAACAAAACACAGATTCCGGGGCGCCTGGGTGGCTCAGTTGTTAGGCGTTTGCCTTCGGCTCCAGTCATGATCTCAGGGTCCTGGGATCGAGTCCCGCATCAGGCTCCTGCTCAGTGGGGAGCCTGCCTCATCCTCTGCCTCCCCCTGCCTGTGTGCATTCTCTCTCTCTCCATCCCTCTCAAATAAATAAACAAAATCTTTTAAAAAAGCAAAACAAAACAAAACAAAAAGCTATTCTTTAACATGCACCTGTAAACAATCTACATCTCTTTATGACTTCTAATGAATAGAAGTTAAGAGTAAGTATGTCAGGGCCCATCCTACACCTCGAGACTCTTGTAAATGACTCATCAACCTGCCTTCTCTTCTCCAGGTCAAACCATCCTAATAAATTCTTTTCCCTTTAAAACAGCGTAATAATGAGAAGGAAGAGGAGCAAGGAGGGGAAGAGGCAGCAGGGACAGCGGAGGCAGGGAGGAAGGAAAGAAGGGCTGAAATGCACAGAAAGCAGCTCCTTCGTACCAGTGCTTCTCAAATGGTATTACGCCTACACGTCACCCGGCACAACATAGATCACAATGCAGACTCTGGCCCGGGAAGTCTGGAGCAGCACCTGAGATTCTGCCTGTCTAATCAGCTCCCAGAAAAACACCCGCCGCTGCTGATCCACAGACCACACTTTGGAGAGCAAGGTTTTACAAGCACTATCTCACCAACAAATGAGAAGACCAACAGCAGGTTAATGACCCGGCTCAAGGTCCGACTGCTAACGAACGGCAGAGCCCGGATTCAACCCCAGCCGTTCTGACTGCAGAGCCAGAGCTCAGTGAGACAGCAGCTCCACAGGCTCCCAAGGTCTGCCCTTTTAGCAAGCTAGCCAGTCCTGGCCCTGCTCCCCGGTCCATCCTGGGGGGGCACCCATCATAATGTCACAGCAGTCTGGGTGCAAAGGCAGTGGAGTCCTACCACTCCTGAAACCTTCCCTGGCCGACTCAGACCTTCCAGGGGACACAATCTCTAGAGAGCTCCTTGGCCAATGAAGCTGCACCTTTGCAAAACAGGTCAGGAGAGGGCAGAAACAGAGACGTGGGAAGGCTCCAGATAACCAATACCTATGTATCCTTCCATCGGCCAGACTTCTCAGGGAAAAAGATGGCCTTCCTTTTGGAATGCAGCTGCCACCCTTCATGGAATCACACTTGCTACGAGTTCATCAGGACAGTTTGTTTTTTGTTTTTGTTTTTTTCCTGCTGAAAAGCAAACCCTCCGGGATTCCAGCTTCCAGATCTGTCCCTTTTTAATGTACTGAATATGCATGACTTGGCCATTCTCCAACACTCACACAGCTCCTCACTGACACTGGTCCCTTCCCTCCTGGACTGCTGATGGGGCCTTCTTACGAGCCGTGCTCCCGGTCTTCTCTCAAGAGAGTCGGGATTGCTACGACGCCCGCACCACCAGCTCTGGCCTCTGAGTCATAATTTCTTTCTATGTTAACTTTTTGCATCAGAACATCTCCATTTCAGCTGCCAAGTCTTTAATACAGCCTATGTATGGACAGCAGAGAAATCTCTGCCACTCCCATTTATTATCTCCAAGCACGGCGTTTCCCTTCCATGCAATCTTATCGTGTATTTCATTACGGGATGGTGTACTGCATCCAATGTTCAGTGGCTTCTCAGTAGGATACGCCCAAGTATTCAGACAGAATGAGAATGGGGTTTGGGCAGACTGGCCACATGTGGGGAAACCAATGGTACAGGTTCACCCTGGCCTGAGGAGGCTCCCAGGATGCAGGGCTCCAAGGGCTGAAACCCAGAGGAGGGGGTTCCTGCTGGCAACACGACACCCTCACACAGCAAGCCCATGGTCAGGTCTCCAGAGCCACCACCCTCCTCCCACAGACAGGCTGCGTGACCTCGAGCAGGCCACTCAATGTCTCCAGGCTCCTGTTTGTCCAGCAAAACCATAAAACAACACTTAAGGTCTTTTACCTATCTCATTTATATATATATATATACATATAGATATGTATATATATTTACATATTTATATATTTACATGTATATAAATATATACACATATTTTACCTAGACAAAGAATTTTTTTAAACATATAAAAAGCCAAAGGCAGTCTTCTCGACAGCATGGGGCCTGCAGCTGTTTCCTGCTCTCAGAAGGGTACCCATGAAGGGGCGCGCAGGCCAGGACCGTGCTGAATCTACACGCAGGTGCCCACGGGCCTCACGGGACCACAGCACCCACACACTGCCATCTGCGCTCACAAACCCTGGCCACATCTATAAACAGGCCAAGCCACTGCCCCAAGGAGTCCAGCCCTGCTCCAGAACACGACATCCAAACTGGCCGTCACTGACTGTGGCTCCCACCCGCCCCTGCTCAGCGGCCGCATGGGACAAAGGTCTGCATCAGAGCTCTTCCACCGCCCTCTCTGTCCGTGGCTGTCTCCACGGAACCTGCTAGAAAGCGGCCCCCAGTGCTACCTCTGGGTGTCTCCCTTGGAGCACATGCAAGCCACCCAGCAGGGACACAGACAGGGCTCTCACAGAGACCAGGTCTCTACTCCAGAATCTCGAGGGTGTCCTTCGGGCTGATGTGACAGCGCTAGCAAATTCACTAGGAGGCTCCCTCTGGCCAGGGAGCAGAGTGAACAAAGCTCCCCACTGTGTTTCTTTGTCCACAGGCTTCACCTGCTGCCACGTCGGTCCCTGACCCCAGGCAGGGCTGCCCCTCTTCCCACAAGGGGACATCTGGAGACTGGGACCCAAGGACCAGCTCTGGCCCTCAGGGGGATGGAACTTGGCCCATCCAGTACTTGTACCAACAATGCATAAGCTGCCAACCTGTAAGACTCAGCAGTTTTCACGTAAAAACCCAGGCCTCTGAGTTCCTCTCGGAAATCAGATCTGGCAATACTAGGCCCTTCACGGCAACCAGAGCCGAGACTGATGACAGCAGCCCCACACGAGCACCAAATCCCTTCTACCTCCTAGCCTCTCTTAGACACAGCAACCAAGGATCAATCGCCACATTCAAATTAACAAGCAGGGGAATGCTTCTTGAACCTGGCACGTCTACCAAAGTGGGAAAACGACACATTGTCCCAGAAGACCACACACTTCAAGAGAAATGGGAGAGACCATTCTCCTCCCCGGAAGAAAGAGTGTAGGGAACAGGGAGGGAGGCTTCTCCTCCACTACCCACCTGGTCTCTCAGGGGCCTTTCAGTCTGTGACCCTTGGTCTCTCGTCTTCAAAGCACCTAAACTCAAACGCTATAGAAGCCAACCGTGAAAACTGAGAGTAGGAGCGCAGGGCGTCAAGAACCCACCCGACTGGAAGGGGTCCCATCAGGCTCTGTGGCGGATGGACAACTCTGCCCAGAACGTGCTTCTGGCACTATCTGGAGCAGACCCAACCACCCAGATCAAACCTTATCACTTCACAAAAGTAACCACATGTTGCATGGATCTCATTGCAAAACAGCCCACGCCTCCCTCTGTTCGGCAGACAAGGGGTATTTATTGTTTTCCAGATTCTCTTCCATGTTGTAAAATGTATCCCATCCATTCAGTCTCCAATCAACCACTTTTTGTTTTTGTTTTTTGCTGGCACGATAACCCCACCAGATTCCAAGAGGGCAGGTTGGTGGCCTCCACGAGGAGTGCCCAGACCATAACCAATACTTACATCACTGCTCCTGGGCCTTGCCAGTGCCAGGCTGTCCCGGGCCAAGGCCACGATCACGTTGCTCTTCTCCCCGGCCCAATGCACCACCATCTGATTGTGGGAATCATTCAGACTAACCTGAAAGAGATCAAACCGACACAGGAATTAGGACCCAGGATGAGTGAGGGCAATGATATTCTAAAGCAAGACTCTCTCTCCTCCTGATCAAAACTCTTCAAAGTGTAGGGATAGAGGGCACATACCTCAATATTATCAAAGCCGTCTATGAAAAACCCACCGCAAATATCATTCTCAATGGAGAAAAACTGAAAGCTTTTCCGCTAAGG